CAAGGTTCTTTGGGTAAATGTGGTATCTTTTATTAGACCAACTAAAAAGTTGTTCTTTGCATGATTTCTGGCACGAACTTTTCCAACTTTTTAGATGGTCTAATAAAAGATACCACATTTACCCAAAGAACCTCGTCTAGTTCAGGTTAACTAATTTGAGTTTGAATCCTTGTGCAAACAAGGGAGTTCACAGTTTTTCACATGAAGAGGCAGGTTGAGTCAAAAAGCTAAGTTTCATCTTTAAGGGCTTAGGAGGCAAAGTACGCTTGTGAAGCTTCCATGCAGTAACAGTTACTTCTATGAATTACCTTACTCAAGATTTTAAGAATATGTATGGGGTGGTATTAATGTCAACTGAGAAGAAAACAAGGTGGCTGGTACATGATGACTGGGTATACTAGACAAAGCTGGAGTGTGGGAGGGCAAGGGAGGCAAGACTGCCAAGCAGGGAGGTGATTAGATAACAGAGGAGCAGATAGTTTGTAGACTGGGGATCCAGAGTGGCTGCTAGTAATTCAATTTACTTCAGTGGTTTCAGCTGGCTGGAAAAAGGAGATGGGAGGAGGGGATTAGGAAAGGAGGCTGTTGATGGTAGTGGAGAATGAAGAAAAAACAACTATATAGAAGGTGGTAGATGGGAATGATGTAGTATCTAGACCTATAGGACTAGATAAAGTATAATAGCAGCAGTGGTTGGTATGCCAGTGCCTAAAATTAAGGGATAAAATGTAACTATGTATGGCAACATCCTAAACTACCATCCAACAGTAGTACTGTAATCGGCTTTCAGGAAACATTTGCACTTCAGCTTTCTCCATACTCCTCCATGCATCGCCTGATACTGTTTGCTTCTTCCTATGATGCCCTGGAAACGTTGTGAAACTTGTACAGAAACCACATCAGAAGATCAACCTGCCTTTGTTGGCAGTATCAATTGAACAGCACTATGAACTGACAGGCACACCTGCTCTTGAATTGCAGGTTCATAGACTGACTGGCATGTCATGGTCTTTGTAACCTGTTGCAGGGAGGAATACTGGCATTAATGGGTTTAGCTTGCTACAATGGATTTTATCCACACCAGCTGTATGTGTTCATATCAAACAATGCACTGTGCTACAGCCTTGACTGTCTATGTAAGTCGGGGGGGGGGAATCTTTTTGGGAGGTGTGACAAATTAGCTTTGCACCTTCCCTGATGCCACTCTGATGTCCTTTCCCTGACCAATCTGTTGCTTTGCTTTCTGCCCTCTCTGCTGCTGTGCTGTCTGTCTCTGCCTTGTTCTGCCATAGGACAGAGGGCCTTGTTACATAGTAACTTTGTGCAGCTTCTGGAGCTTGTAAACCCTGGATTGTCCTCACATTAACACCTGAAACTGGTTGTAAGTATTTGTTAGGTGGCTCAAAGTCATGCCGCTCCAAGGCAGGTTTATTTCTGATTTATTTTACCCAGTTTGTAGCCACTGGGTTACAACGTAGTGAAAATACCACACCTGCACTGCTCCCCTGCTGCCCCAGATCAAGCCTACTGCTCCCCCTGTCCTTCCAGGCACCCCAGATCTCTGCCCACTGACTCTTTTTCCCCCGGTCCCCACTTACTTGTGGCTGCCCACACTGTCTGTTTCTGTGGAGAAGACGGGGAAGAGTTACCCTGCCTGCACCACTTCAGCTGCCATCACCACTACTGCTGCGCTCTGGGCAGGCTCAGCCTGGAAAAGAGCAGCAGCTTGGTAGTGGTAGCCAGGCAGTCTGGTTAGTCCCTTCCTGCCTGCTCCCCTGGGACAGATGGCATAGGCAGCTAGGCTTGAGGAGGGGTAGCCCAGAGGGTGGGGGAGCCTTGCAGTCAGGAGACAAGTTCAGAATGGGGCAAAAGGATTTCTAACCTTTCAGTTCTCCTGGCCCTTGTTGGCCTGAATATGCGACTGCTCCAAATTCGAGTTAGCACTAACACTGATCAACATTTACAAGGTTCACAGAGTAATGTATAACAAGGCCCAGGTCCACTTATGGCACATGTACCTCCAGGTTGGTCACCCTTGGTTTATACATTTATATACCTTTCAGCAGATTTCTGCTCCCCAGGAGTGGTTTTCCATGAAGAGGAAATCGTATAGCTAAGATGCATGATGATTTCATGGGAGGGATCTGGGTGATTGTGGGCCTGCTGTTGTTGTATATTGAGATTACTCAGGTTTGTTAGACAGTACCCCACTGCTGCTTGAAGCTAATGAGGCATGTGATGATATTCAGTTGCATCTGATGGTCAAGGAAACATCTACATTGAGCACTTTATTGGCCATTGCTAGTATAAAGACAACCAGACAAGACCACCCTCCAAAAGTGAGAGTAAGGGGATGGACTGAACCCCACCTGACCACCCCATACACACCATAAATTTGCAAAGACTACTAAATGCCTTTGAATATTCCCCACCCAAGGAACTGTACACTGCATACTAAAACATTACCTAAGAATGTCTAACAAACTTGCATCTCTGTACCAATGTGCTTACCATGTGCAGGGGCTTGTCTCTCTTCCCTTAGTGTCACCCTGAATCTTCCTAACCATGTTACCCTGGGCTAATGTAGGCTGCATGACTAACTGTGTGATTTAGATTGTGTTAACATAACACCAACTATGTACCTATGTAGCAACCGTGCGTGGGGACCTGTATTGTCTTCCAACTCTGCAGAGCTTTGTAATAAGTTATCATCATTTTTAACATTTTCTCAATAAAGTTTTAATTCTATTAATGCAAGAGCAGGCAAAGAAAGATGCAGAGAAATTCAAACCACTGAGAAAAAGCTATGAGTCGTATATGCTGGTGAGTAAAAACTGTTCACATTTGACATCTATGGTTTTGGTTGGTACCCAAGTATCGTAAAAATAAAACATAACAAAACAGGATATTATAAGATTATAATTTTGTTTCTAACATACAGTAACACATCTTTATGCTGTCACCAACACCCCATGATAAAACTAGAGCTCTTTGTTTTTCTGTTGGGTATACTTTATGTTCTCTGTATTTCATGAACATTATAATGATAGCACCATCAACTCACATCTGTAAACATTGTCAGATTTTACTCTTCAAAGTTTTTCTTGAAAAGTTCTCTTATTTTTGGTGTCATGTTGAGCACAATGCACTAGTAACCTAATTTCATTTTCATTGAAATGTACCTTTTGACAAGGAGCAGAGCAGGATTGAGCCTGTATGTACTGGTTAGTGTAGAAGTCCTTTTACATTTCCTCATTATCCAGTTTCAATTAATGATTTCTACTATTCAGAAGGCCATATTTAGTTAACTGTGCAATTTAATATTTCAGTTTAACACCAGCTTTAGAATTACACCAGTTTTCATTTGTTAGTAAACTGTGTATTAGCTGCTAGCAAACATTCATCAGTCATTGAAATGCTACCCTGAGCAGCCATAAATATTTCTTGGTGTCATGTGAGAGAGGTTTCTTGTCTGTGCTTAATGTAGCCCTGCAGCGTGTGTGGGCAATTAGTGAAACTGCTCCTCATGCTATGAAAAGGGAAAGTCCTCTTAGTTTATTTTTGTTAAATAATGACACATTTCAGCTTCTATGTGGTAGTAGACTACATTAAAGAATTAGTCACTTCTTTCCTCTTTTAAAAATACTGTAGTATTTAGTATTCTACACACAGTCACCAGGCGCTCAGCAGTAAGACTGCTGTCAGTTGTAGCTTTGAGCTGCAAGAGAAGGCTGTCATGTTCATAGGATGGCTTTTGCTGATGAAGGAAATACAGTCACTTGTTATAAGAGGGAGGAAGGGAAGGAGGTTTTGTGGATGAGGCACAGGGCAGGGGGAGGAAGCCTGGGTTCTCTTCCTTGTTCTGCCACTGACCTACCACACAGCTTTGGTGGGTCAGACAAGCTGTGTCTCAATCTTCCTACCTGGAAAATGGGGATGATGCTACTGAATCCACCCCAGGGCACTGGTAGCACCTGGAGACACAACGGGGCATGAAAACTTCTGTCAAGTAGCAGCCTACCTGCCCTAATGTAAAGAAGGGGTGGCAGCCACTGTATGCCTGTTTCTATACCTGTAATCAAGAACAGTTATGAGTGCTTTCTTAGCTCTTCTGCCTTTTTTAGGCTCAATTTTTTTCCGAGACTCATCATTTGTATCTGGCACATTCATTCATGTAGTCACTGCCTGAAAGTGAGAGAGGATCTCATAGATATCAGCTGTGTAGGATATGGATCACCCCCAGGTAAAAACTGACTTGGAAATGGACCGAAAAATATTACTGCTAATACTTGCTATGGCAAAGTGTGTATGCCTGTTTCTGTACCTGTGATCAAGAACAGTTATGAGTGCTTTCTTAGCTCTTCTGCCTTTTTTAGGCTGGATGCCGAGCCGCATCCTTTGTATCTGGCACATTCATTCATGTAGTCACTGCCTGAAAGCGAGATTAGACATCATAGATTTCTATTGTATGGGATATGGATCACAGCCAGTTAAAAACGGACTTGGAAATGGGTGGAAATATATTACTACGGGACAGAAAAATATTACTGCTAATGCTTGCTAGGGGAAAGTTTGTATGCCTGTTATCAGAGAACTGCTAGTAGTGCTTTCTTGGCTCTTCTGCCTGTTCCAGGCTGGATGCCAAGACGCATCCTTTGTATCTGGCCCATTCATTCATGTAGTCACTGCCTGCAAGTGAGAGAGGATCTCCTAGATATCTGTTGGGTCCGATACAGATCCCCGCCCCCCCAGTTAAAAACTGACTTGGAAATGGACCGGAAACTATGACTACTAATGCTTGCTTGGGGAAAGCTTGTTTTTTTTCTTTTAAACGGGAGTCACGGAAAAGCCGGCCAGCTTGAGATGCTTCCCACTTCAACAGGGGGGTGGTCCCCCTGCAGCCGAGGTGCGCCGGGCAGCCT